TTCAGCAGGTTAGGTTGGGGTGCCCTCTCTGGAGAAGGGTGAGAGTTTGCTACATAAAACCTTCCCAGCGATGCCTCATCTCACTCATTTCACTCGCGTTTAATCCAGAGGTAACCCATTCTAGAGAGCAGGTCTTACTGCTCCTTGTCTGTTGAGATCTTAGTGTCACCTGTGCAATCAGCCCCCTGCCCTGGGACCTCTGGCTTTGCCTGACGCCTGTCTGGGAGCCAGCCTGTTTGACCTGGCTCACAGCCCTGACCCTCCTCCCTCACAGTACCGCAATGCCAGCAACCCCCTGGCCCACTATGACACCACCGCCGAGGAGATCCTGCAGCAGTGTGATGGTGCGTACTTCCAACCCTGTCTTGATTGCATTTATCTCTAGTGGTCTATGTTAAGTCACCTGCTCTCTCCTTGCTAAACTCCTGTTCACCCCTCAAAACCCAACTCAAAAGTCTCCTCTCGGTAATACTTTCTAGGCTATTTCTCTGTAGCAGTTTCCTCCCTTCTTTGTGCCCTCTTGACCTCTGACCGTGCCTCACCTATGACTTCATACCCTTAATCCAGGTGTGTCTGTGTACCCAGCGGTAAGTCCTCCAGATTGCAGGAGCTGCTGAGTACAAAGAATAAGTGCATTGGGGGCTGGCAGGTGGCATGGTGGTTAAGGTGCTGGACTCCCACGTGGCCAACCTTGGTTCAAGTCTCAGACCTCGCAGCTTGCTTTCTCACTTTCTCTTTCTCCCTCTGTCTCTCTCTTTCTTTCTATGTCCTTCTCTGGTCAAATTAAAATAAATGAATAAATAAATAAAGTTAAATAAAATAATTAAAAAAAAAAAGAATGAGTGCATGCAGGCCTCAGGCTGGTGGTGAACAGCAGCAGGGATCAAGCCCCAACATGGGCATTGAACTCACATCCAGGACGTCTTTCTCATGCCAGAGTGAGTGGTGATGTCTGATTAGCTTACTCTGTTCAGGCATGAGGCTCCCTGGAACCTGCCACGGCCCGTAGGGGCTGGTGGTTTTCCTAAGAGATCCTTGCAGGGAGAAGGTGCCAGGAGCTTGGCACCCCGGCTTCCTGCTCAGTCTGGTGTTGGCGTAAGTGCAACCTAGTTCCACGCCTAGGAGGTAGGTAGAAAGGCCCAGGCCTTGGCTGGCCTGGGTTTCAGGCGTGAGAGCTCTCTCACCTGGCAGAAGCAGTGCTGTCTCGGCACGGGTGCCCATGGGCTAGGACTCCTGCTTGCCGAGCTCGGGCTTGTCTGCCCAGTGCTTGAGCTGCGCTGGCAGCGGTGAGAGCCCAGATGGTTTCTGAGCCAAAGCTGGGGTGATTTACCTCTTTCCTTAAATTCAGTTCATTACCCACATCGCTCAAGAACCAAACAGCCTGGGAAGTACTTAATTAAGATTCCCATGCCCAGTCCTCAGCCCCTCGTGCCCTCCCAACGGGCATGTGGTCTTTCCAGATTCAGCCAAGTGGGGATTTCCAGGCCTAGTATCTCTGAAAGGACTTGGGTCCCGTTTTCTGTGAACGCTTTCTGCTGATGCAGGACTGCTAGGCTCTGAGAATACGTTTCCTTTTGAACATTCTGACCTGCCTTGACCTGGATCAAGCCTGTTTTCACTGATGTTACTAAGGGTGGTGGCGGCTGGGTTATGACTGAAGAATGCTGCCCCCTAGGGAAGCTGGACATGCTGGTGGCTTCGGCAGGCACGGGTGGCACCATCACGGGCATCGCCAGGAAGCTGAAGGAGAAGTGTCCCGGCTGCAGAGTGAGTGGGGAAGCAGGCCCTGGGTGGGCAGGCGGGCCTGGGCTTGCTCGCATCTTTCCCCGTGCCTGAGCTGTGGCAGAAGGTGCCATCCCTGGCATGATGCACACATAGCTACTGCTTTAGAGCTGGAAGCTCTCCTTCCTGACGTGCGGCGTGGGCAGCTTCGCTGTCTCCCATAGTGTGTGACTCTGCGCAGCCTGCCTGGCTCAGGGAAAGTCGGAGCCCGGGCTAGGAAGGAACTCAGCAACTCGAGACGCTGCAGTCTGAAGGAGCTGGGGCTGGGTGGTCGCTCAATGTCTGATGTCCTAGAGGGACTTCCAGTGCTGACTGGGGCTGAGGTACCCACTTGGGAGGTCCAAGGATCAGCCCAGAAGCCCTGTGCCCTCAGCTTGCAGGTTCTGAGTCTGCTTCGCCTCGGGCAAGGGTTCAGCTGGGGTTTCGGAGACTTGGGGAAGAGCTCTGGATTTGGGATTGAAAGCAGGTCTTCACAGGGGCCGGTAGAAGTACCTGGGTTGGGGGGGCATCAAGTGCATTTCCTCCTGTGGTGGCGTTGCCCACCTCCAGGGTGAGCTTGGTGCCCAGTGCTGGCCCTGCCCCTGCAGGCTCCAGTGGCCCCACTAGTGGGTGGTCTCCCTGGGCTGTCGTGGGAACCCTGCACAGAGGAGTCCCCTGGGATGTCACTTCTTCCTGGGCACCTGTGTTCCCTCCAAGTGTCCTGTACTAGGCACGTAGTCGAGTTAAGTTGCATTGCTTCCCTCCCCAGGGAAGAGGGTGTTTTGCTAGAGGGTGTGTGCACTTGCCAGAGAGAGACAGAAAAAGGGAAAATGAGAAAGTACCCCCACCCATGGGGAATGGCCACACCAAAATCCCTTCCCCATTTCTCCTTTCGGGATTTTACGCAGGCTTTCCAAGCTGCTCAGTCTGCGACTTGAACTGCAGAGTCGGTCATATAGGTCCAGCTGCCTTAACTAGCAGGTCAACAGCTAGCCTGGTCATGTCGCTCTAAAACCTGGGTCCCTAGGTTTGTGTCTTGCCTCCGCGTCTCAGGAACAGGCCCCACGTCTGGTGAGCAGATCACGGACAGGCACTCTGTGGTGGTGACCTTGGCCACCTAATAACAGCCAGATGTGTCCAGAGGAGACTTTTGCCCAACTCAAATGCTGAAGCTGCCTGTCCTACAGATCATTGGGGTGGATCCTGAAGGGTCCATCCTCGCAGAGCCAGAGGAGCTGAACCAGACGGAGCTGACGGCCTATGAGGTGGAAGGGATTGGCTATGACTTCATCCCCACGGTGCTGGACAGGACGGTAGGTCAGGGTCACAGTGCTTGCTGGGAGGCAGAGTTGCAGTGTGGTCCCACCCCATACTGTGTGTTCACGCCTGGGCAACCACTGACCACAGGTGCCCATCCTGGCTTTCTTTCTGAGCGGGCACAGGAGAACAAGTACTGTTACGCACAATTAGAAGGTGGTCTCAGAGATCGAGACTCGCCCCGGCCTCGCTGGGCAAAGACTGCAGGCCAGAGACAGCCTGTGGCTGGGTCCTGCCATCCTAGGAAATGAGTGGAAACAGCCTGTGACTCATCTGCAGCCACTGAGCACAGACCAGGCACCTGCAGGGAAGGGCAGCGTGGGGTGGTTCAGCGAGGAGGGCAAGTGCAGGAAACGTAAGGACCCCGGAAAGTTCTCTCCTTCAGGGCTGTAGAGTAGGTTCTGGAGTGAGAGCCTCAGGACCCCTGCAGTGATGGGTGGCCGCCCTGCGGGCTGACTGGGAGGTTTGAGTTTCTACGCTCCAAGTATCTTAAGCAGGAAGGGTAGAGTTCCAGGTTTGCAAATGTGAGCTCTAGACCCCTGGAGGAGGGGCAGGCTGTGCCCACTGGCGCCTTGGCCACCTGGATAGAGGTGGTCTGGGAAGCTGACAGCGCTCTGCCGAGCACCAACACGGCCCGTGGTCTTGTCCTGCCACAGGTGGTGGACAAGTGGTACAAGAGCAACGATGAGGAGTCCTTCGCCTTTGCCCGCATGCTGATTGCGCAAGAAGGACTGCTGTGTGGTGAGTGGCCAGGGAACCTGCAGGTGGAGGGTGCAAGCAGCGTGGGGGCGCATGCCCTCTGCAGGCTTCCAGTCCAGTCCCATCAGACACAATCGCTCTGAGGCTGGGATGGCTGCGGCCATGATTCTCAGGTGGGGCCATCTGTCTATCCAGGCCCTCCTTAGGTCAGCCCGCTTGTCCTTGCTGTGACCAGGTGGGGTCACCTGCACAGGTAAGACTAAGCGGCCTCAGTATAGGGCTTTGAGCTATCCTTCTGGAACATTTCAGAGCATGACCAAAGCTCTCAGAACACTTGTTTTCCACAGTCAGGACCAGGCTTTTATTGGGATGGACTCTCCACCAACCAGGACCCACTTAAGGCCAGGGGAGACCTCAAATGCCCTGGAGAGGCTCGTGTGGGTCTGTCCCTCCAGCCTCCACGACCAGCTCTGGCCTCTGTGGACTGAGGCCCATCCAGGATCGACTCTCCATCTTCCACCCACCCCAGCCCTTGGCTCCCTGCTGGGAGTAGGGACACAGTGCTGGGCCAAGGAGCACCGTGGCCACACGGGGAAAGAAGGCCCTGTGGACAGCAACTTGTTTAGGGTCTCAGGGACTTAGGGGATGCCACCGAACGTCTACCCACCCTGAAACTCACACAAGGACATGATATGTGGCCATTTAAGTGTGTCTTCCTCCTGCGTCCTGCCATACCAGGGTAGAGGAAAGGAATGGAAATAGCCCCCAGTGTGGTGAGGCTCAGTGTGGACAGCTGAGCCCCAAACTAGATTGGAGTAAGCCCCTCTTGATTGAAAAACCTCCCCAAAATGTTGTTTTAAAAGTCACATGGTCCCACCTGTGGCAGGTGCTCTTGGTACTCTCCCTGCCCCATATTTCCAGTGGAAACCAAGCCTCAGCTCTCGGAGCTCATAAGCAGGACTGCTGCCCCGCGTTAGCAGGGCCCTCCCGCAGTGCGCTTGGTGGCCAGGTAGAACTCGCTCCCTCAGGCCCTCCTGAGCCTACGTGAACCCAAACTGGAGGGGCCACTGTAGCCACCACTGGATGTGACCTGGCGCTCTGAAGGCTGGGAACAAGTAAAGTCACCGTGTGCCTCAGTGTCTCCTTTATGAAGTGAGGCTCAGTGTCTTCTGCCTTGTGGGCAGCCAGGTAGCTGCTGGCCTCGTGATGGGGCCGTCCACGTGACCATGTGGCCACCCCCAGCACTCAGCTCATTTGCCTGGCATCCTAAGCCCTAGTGTTTCTCTGGCACCCATGCCTGCCCTTTCTGAGCAGAGCCCCAGTTCTAGAGGTCTGCGCTCCTGGAAAGGGTTCAGCTAGGAAGCCAGGAACACGGTGGAAGGCCCATGGCGTATGAGGAGAAAGTTGATGCCCAGTGAGAGGCAGGGTCCACTGGGGCCAGCTCCTCCACCCAGAGGTAGCTGCTGTTGACAGCTCCCCAAAGACCCTCCCAGAGCATGCCTGGGTATGTGGGTGTCACAACACGTGCATGCACACCACATGTCCACACTCAGCAAGTCTGACCGGGGCCCTCTCTGCAGGTGGCAGTGCCGGCAGTGCCATGGCCGTGGCTGTGAAGGCTGCTCGGAGCCTGCAAGAGGGTCAGCGCTGCGTGGTCATCCTACCTGACTCGGTGCGGAACTACATGTAAGTTAGGATGTTCACCCTGCCCCCTGCCTCCGGCCTCCACCCTGGAGGCCCTGCTGTCCATGGGGAGCTGGGGCCTGGCCAGCAGGTACACCCCAACCCCCATCTTCTTGGCCTGCTTTAGCCTCCCCTTGGGTCTTCTAAACAAGTGTGAAAGTCAGTGCAGGGCCCTAGAGAGAGGGACGGGGCCTCATAGAGGCACGCTGCTCCCCCTGGCAGCCCCTCCTGTCCCCGGGTGCTGCCCACTGTGCCTCTAAGGCCCCTGGGCCCAATAGTCCACAAGCTGCCAGGGCTGGGATGGCCCTCCTGCTTCCCTGTCTGCCCTACCCACTCATGTGGACACCAAGAGAGCCCTGGCTGGGGTCAGGCAGCCCCTTGGGATTTGCTGTGAGATGTTTGCCTGGTGATGTCCGAGGTCCCTTGAGCGCTAATGTCTGGACTCACTGGACGACAGATCTAGCCCCTTGTGGGGCTCAGAGCCCACAGCTCCCAACCCCTCCCACTGCTGGGCTAATGCATGCCTGGGCTCACCACCTGACACTAGGTAGCTCACTCCATACCAGGTCTCACTGGGTGCTAGAGGGGGAGAGAAAAGGACTCAACCCCCTTGTCCCCTCCCCACAGACCCACAAGATTCCTCCATGGCCTGAGCTCAGCTACCCTTGTTAGGCCAGGCATTTCTGGTGGGCATCCCATTTAGATCTGCAAGTGTGGGAGGCTTGTGTGAGTGCCCACCCCCAAGGTGTCCTGAGCAGAACCCCACGTACCCTCAGGTACCTGCTGGCCTGCATGTGTGTACATGTGCATGTGAGTATGAATGTGTGTGTGTGTACGTGTTTGTGTGTGTGTAAGAGAGAGAGAGAGTGTCTGAGTGGCCACGAATGATTGAGTGGGCATGTGCATGTACACATGTGTGTCAGCTGCTGGGGGTCATCTCTACCCCCCACTATGTTGATCCTTGGCTGCCTCTAGGGCAGGTTCCTGGCAGCCCCCGAAACCCCTATGGGATGAACTCTCTCTCCCAGAGCACATGTGGAGGGCCAGGGAGAGACTTCATAGAGTGGAGAACCTTCTGGGCTCGGACTCATTCCGCTCAGGCATTATTTACCCTGGTTGACCAGATGCCCCAGTTCCCACTGGGGGTCTTTCAAGGTCTAGCCTTTTGGCTTTTCTTTTTGGGCCCTACCCAGCCATTTGGAGTGCTCTGGACCAGCAGGGGCCAAGGAGGCATGCTGGGTTTTCTCAGAACTAGTCCCTGTGCATGCATGTGCCCCTCAGGGAAGAGGCCATAGTAGTCCCGGGTCAGGCCTCAGTGACCTCATGACCCCTATCCCTGTAGGTCCAAGTTTCTGAGTGACAAATGGATGCTGCAGAAGGGCTTTATGAAGGAGGAGGACCTCATGGTGAAGAAGCCGTGGTAAGGATGTCTCTGAGAAGAAGCACATGTTCCTGGGCTAAGGGGGCCTGAGCCCTGTCCAGCCCAGCTGATGGCCATGGCGCCGCCCTTGGCCTGGGTTCCCTGCTTCCAGTCCTTAGCCCCAGCCCTGGCTCTTCCCACAGGTGGTGGCATCTCCGCGTTCAGGAGCTCACTCTGTCAGCCCCACTGACGGTACTGCCCACGGTCACCTGCGAGCACACCATTGAGATCCTGCGCGAGAAAGGCTTTGACCAGGCACCTGTGGTTGATGAATCAGGGTCAGTGCAGCCGCCCCTGCCCCTCCCCATCCAGATCTGTACCCTCCGGGACCTGCCATGAGCCATGGGGACCCCTCAGCTGACCTCAGTCACTTTGTACCTGGATGGGAGCTGGCCAGATGATCTCTTTGGGCCTTTATGCCTCTGACTCACCCCCACTTCACTCAGGTGTGCAGGCCTGTCTGGGCCCCAAGCCGAGAGGCAGGTGACAGACAGCTAGGGCCGTGTCTAAGTGGAAATGGGGCAGACATGCCTAAGTGGCCAGTTGTCCAGCTTCTAGCTCTGACAGTCCTGTATCTGAGACTCTGATGGCTGGTCAGCCTCATATTTGTCAGACATCCCAAGGGCTCATTGCTTTTTGTCCTTCTCCCCGTTTGGTTTCTGCTCTGTTCCTGCTTCACGTGCATTCAGCATGGGTGCTGGATTCTAAGAGGAATTCTATATTTGACTGGAGACCACCCTCGGCCATCTGGGAAATGGTGAAGGGCATGCACTGACCCCCTACCTTGTCTCTGCTTTTCCCAGGGTGATCCTAGGGATGGTGACTCTCGGGAACATGCTGTCATCCTTGCTTGCTGGCAAGGTGCAGCCAGCAGACCAGGTCCGCAAGGTCATCTACAAGCAGTTCAAACAGGTGCGTGCCATGTTTCTCTAGAGCAGCTGGCGCTGAGACTCGCTGATCCCCAAGGTGAGCGGCAGCACTAAGCACTGGGTTCCTGGCCCCCAAGTACCACACTGAAGGTCAGCCACAATGGCTACACCCTGTCAAAATCATAAACCCAATAATTTGCCCACCTTTAGAGGAGAGAAGCCCTAGCGGGGGAATGCTTCTCACCAGCGAGGTCTCACTCACTGCTATATTCGGCCCTACCGGCTCATTAGCAGCCCAGAGACCATCCTCTTAGCCAGGCTGGGCATCTACCAGGGCATCTTATAACATCCAGCCCTGATCCCTGCCCGTGGATGCATTCACCTGCCAATTCCTGGTATGCCTAATTGATAAGAGCTAGAACATTCTGAGAAGTCCCAGCATGGCCCCTTGCTGTGCAGGTCAGACCTGAGGTTGTCCTGCTCCCCCATCACACCCCGCACGCTGCGTTCCCTGATGGAGGGTGGTGGTGTCAGCGTCACATCTGGAAGGCGGCCAGTGCCGCAGGCCACGAAGAGCTCACAGACTTAGAGTGTAAGCAGAGAGAAAAGGTTTATCCACTTTCCGAGAAAGGAAAGGGGCCAGATGCAGAGAGCTGCATCAACCCTGAAGGGTAAGAGGTATGGGTTTTTCCTGGGTTTGCAAGGGCAAGGGGATTAGAGTTGGGTAACTATTTTTTTTTTAAAGAGGCTTTTGCCTTAGGCATGTGCATTAGCTAGAGAGAGAGCCAGAGACAGAAACAGTGAGAGGGAAAGTGAGAAGTCACTGCCCCTTCCCCATTCTCCTCCCAGGATCGTGAGCACATATGCACACACACCTGACGTGCACACATGTTTTAAGCCATCAGCCCTGGGACTCAAACTGCGATCGGCCCTGTGGGAATCCAGTAACAAAACCGCTACACCATCTGCAGGCCCCTGTGGTTAGGTAATTAAGGTAGCCCTGGGACAGGACACCTGTTGGCCCTGGGGCTGTTCGGCTGCTGTGGTCTGCCATGTATCTTGTTTGTTGTTAGCCGTGGCGCTGGCGTTGACGGATATAACAACCTTTATGTCTGCAGGCAAGAACTTATGGGGAAAAAAAAAACAAGGTCAGCTGCCTGCCATGAGAAATACAAGGAAGGGTTGGTCCACTCAGGAGAAAGGAAGGGGGTAGAAAGGCACGGAGGCACCCTTTCGGCCTTCCCCGCCCACCTAGCCTGCAGCCCCTGATTGCGCAGAGCCTACTGAGTGGGAGAGGCTGAGGTTCAGCCCAAATCTAGGAACAGATCGGAATTCTCTCTCGTCTCACACACTCTAAAAATTCCCCAGAACCCATGCACCCCTCACATTTCTGTCTCCACTGTCTCTTAGAACCTGCAGGGCCCCTTGCTGCCTCTGACCCCCATAGGTGAGGCTCTGCGGCCCTGGCTCCATGGCTCCATGCCCGACTGTCTTGCTCCTCCCTTGCCCGCCTGGAGCGCATTGCCTCCTACTTTTCCTGAGCTCTGCCTGAGTCTGGCCCTGCTCACCCTGCTGCAGGCCTCAGCCCAGATGCCCTTCCTTGGCCTCCCCAACCACTCGGGCCCCCACTGTCCCCCCAGTACTCACCATGATGGGATATTTCTTAAGCCTCTATCAAGCCTTTCCTGCCTGGCCCCTCTGCCTTAGCTCCCTCCTAACTTCCATCCTGGGCCCCCAAGGGCTCATCAAGCAGGGGGTACGGTGTCCAGCCAGGCTGCAGCTGGGGCCACCTTCCAGCCCATCCAGTTGCCCATTGGTTCTTCTTGAGGTTTCTTTCCTTCCTTTCCACTCCTTCCTTCCATTCTTTACTGAGCTATCGTTCATATAAGGAACATATTTAATGTGCACAACTGGATGATTTTGAAACCATCACACGTGTCCATTACCTCAGACGCTTGCTGAGCCCTCCCCTCCTTGTGTCCCCGCCCGCTCCGCAGCAGTGGCTGTCTGTTTTCTGTGCCTCTAGGCTGCATCCTGAGGAGCCATGAATACACAGAACCACGTGATGGCTGCCTCTTTCACACGGCAGAACCATGTGAGGTCCAGGCTCCTTTCCCTGCTGGGTCCTGTTCCATCGCACCTCTGGCTTTGGTGTTGATGCTCCACTGTCTGCTCATGCCCCTGACACTGATGGGACCAGCTCTGCCGCACCCTGGCATGTCTGGTGAAGCGAGGTCCTCGCTCCTCCTCTTATGCCTCTGCCCCTCAGTGTCTCTGCTTTAGCATTTTGTTTTTTGTTTTTTTGTTTTGTTTTGTTTTTTGTTTAAGAGTTTTTGTTTTGTTTTGTTTTGGTCTGGTCAAAGGGTGCATGTGCTTGCTGGAGAGAGACAAAGACAGTGACAGTGAGATGGAAAGTGAGAATCTACCTCCCCGCCAGGGGCAATGGCCACACCACAATCCCTTCTCCTCCATTCTCCCCCCACTGGGAGTCCAGTGATGTAAGCATTATGCCATCTGCTGGCCCCTGGTCTGGTGGGTTTTTAATCTTTTCTTCTTCTTCTTTTTTTTTTTTTTTTTTAAGTTTGCTACAGGGTGCACACATTTGTGAGAGAGAGAGGAGAGGGAGGGGGGAAAGTGAGAAAGCACCCCACCCCTGGGAGCATGACTATGCCACATCCCATCTCCTCCATCTCTTCCGTTCTCTTCTTGGGATTTTGGGTCTTTCCGGTGTGTTTTTCAAACCCCTGGGTCTGAGACTCAAACTGCGTGGTTGGCATATGGGAATCCAACCATCCAACCACCACACCACCTGCTGGCTCGATCTTGTTTTATTTTCATGCTGGCAGGAACTGAACATGTAAGGGCAGAGCTCCTGGCTGCAAGCCCAGCGCCCAGATGTGTTTTCCCCCTTGGGCCAAGTCAGACCTAAGGGAAGCCTTACTCCAGAGCTCAGCCGAGCTCCTCAGCCCGCTTACCCCGCTGCCAGCAGGCGTACCACCGAGGTGTGTGTCGTCTCAACACAGCGCTTCCACATCCTGCCACTCCGAGGCTAGGCTGGCCCTGCAGGAGCAAAACATGTTAGGGGCCGCCCAGGTGTCTGGCTGAGCTCTGAGCACTGAGAGGCAGGTGTGGACAGAGGCAGGATGTCCTTCAGCAAAAGCACCAGGCCTCCCATTCCAGGAAACATCGTAGCTTCCATCTGCCGGGCACGTGGCCATACCCAGCACTGGTCTTTCAGCCCACCTTGGGGGTCTGGCCACCCACAGGAGAGGCACAGGGAGGACCCAGCCTTCACAGTTCCCTTGGGTGTTCTCGCCACTGGCTTTTGGCACAGAGGAGAATCCTGACCTTTCAGACCACATTCAGTGTCCGACTGCATGACAGCAGATGGGGGAGTTTGGCTCCCATGAACTTGCATCGTTGCTTAGGGCTTGCCGTGTGACGTCCATCAAGCCTGCCCTCAGATGCGGCCACACTGCCACACTCTGCTCTCAGCTTAGGGCAGTGTCGACGCTTTCCTGCCTGCGCTGCGAACTCAGCCTTCCCCAGGGAGATCATCCTGCACCACAGGGTCCAAACAGGACATCCGGGGCGGTCCTGGTGTGTGGTCCACTGGAGTTTGGCAAGCATCTTTCGGTTTGCCCAGTTGTCCTCACCACGTCCAGGGTTTTGTCCCATCCTGGTGACATTTCCCCAGAAATCAATGGCTATGCAGGCTATGGGTAGGCAGAGTCCTGCAGGTGTCAGCTGACCTCAGATGGAAGTCACGATAGTGGCCCACCCCCCTTTCTCCCTCGCCCAGCCCCTGGCAGGCACTGGCCTTTGAACCCGCGCTGGCATTAGCAATGTCCTGGAGTTAGGGCACACACACACATCCCTTTCAGGTGGCTCTTTCATGGAGCACCTGCACTCAAGCTTCCTGGCATCCTGGCGTCAGCTCACCCAGGTGTCCTTTCAGGTGTCATGGGTCTGACATCTGTTAGGATCCTCTGAGCAACGTGGGTTTTTCCTGTTGTCCCATGTTCCTGTCCATGGTGGCCTGCCAGGACAACAGCCCTCAGGCCTGGCCACATGGTCCCTGACTGTGCCTCTCTTCCAGATCCCCCTGACGGACACGCTGGGCAGACTCTCCCACATCCTGGAGATGGACCACTTCGCCCTGGTGGTCCACGAGCAGATCCAATGTGAGTGGCCAAGCTGTGGGCACTGGGTTCTCGTTGGGGGCAAGACCACCAGGCCAGGACATGGGCCTGTGTGCTACTTCCCTGCCGTGTGCAGTTTTCTGGGGAGCAGGTGGTGCCAGCCTGAGGGCCATGTGGGGCATGCTGAGCTCCAGGCGGGCTCTCATGCCGGGTGCGGGCTCAGGTGTTCAGAGCCCTGGGCTCCTGGGAGGCAGCAGTCTTGGCCACTCTGAGGGACAATCCTAGGAAAATCTGGAACATCTGTGATTCTTGAGACCTAGCACTGTCCCATATCCTTGTGGAGGGTGGTCCTGCTCTGACAGCCTCCTGGACTTTGGGGAGGTGCTCTGAAGGGAAGCCTCCTCATGGAGCTCAGAGAGACACTCGCAGAGGCCATACTCGGCACTCAGCTCCTAGGTGGTTCCGGAGCTGAGTAACTCCTGGTCACAGAGCGTCTTCCTGGGCACCCTGACCACCTCCATAGGCCAAGAGAGTTGGTCTCACCTTCTGGCTAAGAAGTGACAGTCACAGACTTTAAGCCCTTCCCAGGGCTCACAGGAAGAATTGGGAAGGCCTTGAAGCCCATCCGTGAGGCCCACCCACCTGCTGATCTGTACCGTGGGCATGCTAGCTCAGACCTGCTGAGGGCTGGTCAGTGAGGGCCTGGGGCACCTCTGTCTAATCCCTCTCCCGTCCTTGGCTCTACAGCACGGGACCAGGCCTGGTCAGGAGTGGTGGGGGGGCCTGCAGGTATGTACGCCCTGTCCACCCCCCGGGAAATGGCTCCTAGGGTAGGAATCGCAGGCTTCCGAGGTCCCCGAGCATGGGTGGGCGGGCTCCTCCTTTCAGTCACACATTCGCAGGTGCTCCTGACTTAGGCGGGGATTAAATCCCGATAAACGCACCGCAAAGTCTAACAACTGCTGTAAACCGAGGACCATCTGTACTTGTATTTGAACATCCCTCCCTTAAAAAAGATATGGATACAATTTCTGGGTCCATAGTGATTTTCTTAGGCCCACCCCTGCTTATTACCCTGTCTGCTGCTTTCAAGCCAGTGGGTGTGACGGACCTTGGCCCACAGGATCCGAGACTCACACCTGGTCCTCTACAGGCTGTCACCCTTCCAGCCTTAGACTGGCGTGTTAGGGCCAGGCTGTGTGGCTCTCGTAGCCTGCATCTCAGTGGCACAGGGAGTGACAGAGCTGAGGCCAGGCTTCTCCAAAGCTGTCCCTTTGTCTCAGTGTCCCCAAAACACTAGCAGCTTATCTCTGGGTTCCCCTGGTTTTTCCTGAGGCTCCAGGGGGTCATCAAGGTACCTGGCCCCTCCGCCATGAAGGCAGGCTCTAAGGACCGTAGCAGAGCTGGAAAGAGGGCTCAGGGCTTCTCAGTCATGCCTGCTGGCCCCTCGGTGGCCTCTTTTTCTTTTCTCTTTAAATTATTTATTACATTGACTATTATTATTTTTTAATTTGCTATAGTCCCAGGTCTGGGACTTAAACCATGGTCGGCAATGTGGGAGTCCAGCACCCTAACCACCACGCAACCTGCTGGCTCCTCAGGGGGCTTCTTTT